AATAGAATAGAATAGAATAGAATAGAATAGAATAGAATAGAATAGAATAGAATAGAATAGAATAGAATAACAGAGTTGGAAGGGACCTTGGAGGCCTTCTAGTCCAACCCCTTACACTACTTCAGACAAATGGTTATCCAATCTCTTATTAAAAACTTCCAGTGTTGGGAGCATTACAACTTCTGGAGGCAAGTAGTTCCACTGATTAAGTTGTAACTGTCAGGAAATTCCCCCTTAGTTCTAGGTTGCTTCTCTCCTTGATTAGTTCCCACCCATGGCTTCTTGTCCTGCCCTCAGGTGCCCTGGAGAATAGCTTCTCCCTCTTCTTTGTGGCATCCCCTGAGATATTGGAACGTATTGGAACACTGCTATCATGTCTTCCAAAATGGCTGCTGGCCAAATTTCAATTCCATCACCATCCCTCCAGTTCAAGGTCCCACCCGGATGGTGGGAACGAAGCAGAGACACCCAAGGGGCATTCAAGACGGATGGCTTCTTCTCTTCAGCAGAAGAAAGGCCGAGCTACACGTTATCGTGTTAGCACTGACGGTAAGGGTTTAGCATAGGGAAGAATGGCTGGTGACTCAAAAAAAGGATTTGGAGAGCAGCGCAGCGGCCAGTAGAGATGGTGCAAGGCCGAGTCGCAGAGGGAGCGCCAGGGCAGGGCCATTGGTCTGGGCGTCTCACCGCAGCAGGTTGGGTGCCCAAACGATGGCTAAGTTGCGGATGTGCATGCTGGTGTTTTGACTGTGCATAGCCATGCGTGCCAGATGCCGTAGCAGGAATTCCAGAGTCCTGTTGGGACAGAGAAGAAGCTGCTACAGGGAAGAGTCCGTTTCAACACACTGAGCCCTCTTCAGCAGCTTCTCCCCATCCAACACCTCCCCAAACCATTTTATCCCGTTCTCTAGACATTAATCCGCGTCCCCCAACAATACCTACCGGTAGTGCGGTGGGGGTAATTGTTGGATGACATCATGTACCCTCACTAAGCGCTCTTCATTCCCAGAAACTGAGACAGCGTCCTATAAGAAGGGGAGGGAAAAAAAGAAAAAGAGAATTGAAGGAGGCACGTCAGTATCAACATATTTATGGGCTCTTTTTTTATTTCTGGCATTGTCATAACTGTCATTTACAGGCTCTTTTTATTTCTGGCCTTTTTATATTGTCTTTCATCAAATTCAGATTTCTGAAAACAGTGACTGATGACCATTGCTCACACTTATGACCATTGCAGCATCTCCAGGGTCACGTGATTTACATTTGGATGCTTGGCAACTGACTCATATATATCACGGTTGCAATGTCCTGGGGTCATGTGATCTCCTTTTGCAAACTTCTGGCAAAGTCAATGGGGAAACCAAAGTCACCAGAGTCAGTAAAAGAAAAGGGGAAAGATTCCCCTCGCACATACATGCTAATCATTTCCAGCTCTAGGGGGCGGTGCTCATCTCCGTTGCAAAGCCAAAGAGCCAGCGCTGTCCGAAGACGTCTCCGTTGTCATGTGGCTGGCATGACTAAACCCTGAAGGCTCACAGAACACTGTTACCTTCCCACCAAAGGGGTCCCTATTTTTCTACTTGCATTTTTTACGTGCTTTCAAACTGCTAGGTTGGCAGAAGCTGGGACAAGTAACGGGAGCTCACTCCGTTACATGGCGCTAGGGATTGGAACCGCCGAACTGCCGACCTTGGTTACTAACTTAATGACTGCTTAACAAATGTGGCAAGAAAAGTTGTAAAATGGGGCAAATCTCACTTAACAAACTTCTCATATAGCAACATAAATTTTTCGGCTCAATTGCGGTCGTACATTGAGGACTACCTGTATTGCATTATTTGTCCCGTTGGCCTTAATAGGATGAAAGCCTGATTGTCAACAGCAGGGGCCAGTATTTAGCAAACCATGATTGATCCCTCAACACTAAGCAAAGTTGGACCGAAGTTGGCTGGAGACTACCAAAAATTACCAGGATTAAAACCTGGATGGTGCAGTGAGAAACTATCCAGAAGAACAAAATGGCAACTCTTTTCCAACTCTAACTATGGTTAAGGAAATCAATATGGACACATCTATGGATTCACAAAGAATTTAATCCAACTCAAGAGTCTTCACTCTTCCCTAAAGCCTGACTAAGGTTCTTCCCGTGTGTAACTTCCAGCTGCTATGTTTAATGGAGCCATGAATGGAGAATAATGTTTGCTTTGTTTCAATTAAAGTGAAAAGTTCAGAAAAGGGATCTGAAACACGAGGAGAAGGAGCAGGTGGTCCAAAGACTATCCTTGAGCAACAAAATTGAATTTCTGAGTTTTGCAAGATGGCCTGTTCTGAATAAGAAATGCCACCAAAGTAAAACAAATACAGTTCAAAGAGAATGGAAAGGAATGGGGGGAGGAGGAAAGGAAAAGGGGAGGGCAGTTGCAGTTAACTCGGCTTAAAATAGCAACCACACAAAGAGCGGGTAATACAAAAGAATAATAGAGCAGGAGAAATTGCTGCTTATTATGTGGGCAGCACAACCGTGGGAGGGCAATGTAACTGTACTCTTCCACCTCCTCCCTCTCTGTCTCTTTGTTCTACAACTCCCACTTCCACTGTTCTGCCTAGGAAAGGGTGTGCAGCTCAGAAGGTTGTTGAGTGCATGGTGCCAACTTTGCATCTCCAGTAGGTGCATACAGGAGTCACTAGAAGGTGTGAAGAAATGACAGGTGCCCTAAGATACTGTAGGTAATAAAAGTGACTTGAGTAGTGAGGGGGCTGTCTTGTTAACATTAAATGCGGATTCATATTAAGGTGGTGTTAACCAATTTAATTTGCGCCTTGCTCTGGGTTCCCTTATTGGTAAAGGAATGTAACTTTTCAGTTTGTGGCCCCAAGATTATGTCACTAAGGAGAGTTCACCTGTACCCATCTTGCATTTCTCCTCATCATTTGGGTAGCTTTTAACAAAGGTGTCTATTGTTACCAATTCTTTTAGAGGAATATAGGATGGATGGATGGATGGATGGATGGATGGATGGA